ATAGATAGATAGATAGATAGATAGATAGATATGAACAGACTGACATAGATAGATAGATAGATAGATAGATAGATAGATAGATAGATAGATAGATAGATAGATGAGATATGAACAGATGAATGACATAGAGAGATAGATAATGAACAAACTGAGATAGATAGATAGATAGATAGATAGATAGATAGATATGAAAAGATTGAGATAGATATGGACAGACTGACATAGATAGATAGATAGATAGATAGATAGATAGATAGATAGATAGATAGATAGATAATGAACAAACTGAGATAGATAGATAGATATATATGAACAGACTGACATAGATAGATAATGAACAAACTGAGATAGATAGATAGATAGATAGATAGATAGATAGATAGATAGATAATGAACAAACTAAGATAGATAGATAGATAGATAGATAGATAGATAGATAGATAGATAGATAGATAGATAATGAACAAACTAAGATAGATAGATAGATAGATAGATAGATAGATAGATAGATAGATAGATAGATAGATAGATAGATAGATAGATTTAAAATGCTTTCTTATTATGAAGCGAATTCATTACATCCTTTCATTCATAACTTATACATATTTTGAAACGTAATTCCAGTCTTGGAATTCGATTCCGAAAGAGTTACCTCCCCCTGTATCCATTCAGTGATGAACCCTTCAGCCAAACAGTCTGAGACATTTGTTTTTTGTCTCGTTCGCTTTCGCTTCAAAAAACATCTTTGAAAACTGTCGCTTTTCAACCAAAGGAAAAAACGACTGAGACACAACGATTGTTACGGCTTTAATCTTGATGTTTTACTTTGGATTTCTCTGTATTGATTTTATTTCATATCTTTTTAGAAGGCCGATATGACATAAAATATACGTTTATTTAAAAAAATTATTGGATAGCAATAGATTCTTGCAAAATCTACATATAACGAAGAAATGTGGTAGGGTCACGTGACAACTTTGGTTCTAGACAAACCAATTTTTGAGAGACTAAAATGAGAAAATAATGAGCAGAATTTTCATAAGGGCGACATATTTATAATGAACGAAATGGCGAAAGAAGGGGAACTAGAACAATTTACCCCGATGGGCGAAATAAAGGTTACAGTTCGAAATTCCAATCACCTAAAGAAGGCCGGAGCGTACAACGGCCAAAACGTCGTGAATATGGCAACAAAACAGTCCGAGCACTGTAAATAGTATAAATGCATTTTTATTAAATAAGTATTTGTTATTTTAATCATTAAATTGTTTTTAAATAGTGGGGATATTTTGTATGTTATATAATAACAAAAAAATAATGAAAATTTATTGTACTAAGCGACGCTCCCTAGTAAAACCAATTGTATTTTGTACCCCTTTACCTTTACCAAAATTTTGTTTCGATCGTTCAATATATGGCTATTTTAATGAGCGTGACGGACGGATTAACGAAAATCACAGAATTTTATATATAGATTGTACCAACAAGAAATAATTACTTTCTTAAGTGTTGAAATACTCTTCTTGCCATTTCCTGTCTTGCTCTTTAAACTTAAGACTTTAAACTTGACAATACACCATCCACATTTTTTTTTATTTCTACCACTGATGACGTCGTATCACTAAAATTTATGTGATATATGAACGTCTAAATTGTCTTAATTGAATTTTTAAGAGTAACGTATATATC